CCCTCCGTGGCATGCCCCCCCAACTCAAGGGCCCTTGACCACATGACACAGGCCCTGTGCCCCTCTCCCAAGGTTGGTTGCTTGAGGAATGCTGCTCAGGAGTGGCCAGTTCCTGGGGTCAAAGTGCCCCCCCCCCAGTTCCCTATATTCACACAGACGTGGGGCCCCCTGCTCAGCTCGGAGGCTGCTGGGTCAGGCCCTGCCCAGCTGTAGTTCTCCTGGGACTCAGCACAAAGGGCATCTTCAGCAGCCGGGCACCACCAGCCTGGAAGATGCACCTTTGGAAGTGGCCAACTGTAGGGCCTTGGGAAAAAAAACCCTTGGACAAGGTTCCCCACCCCTAAGAATGTTCCTTAGATTGAGAGGGAACCAGGGCCCCTGCTTCAGGGGGTTGAGGACTGAATGGGTTGTGCAGAGTCTCCCGGACCCTCACACTCAAAGTGTGCTCCGAGCATAGGGCTACAGACTGCTAGCCACTGGTCATAAGCAGAGTGTCCGTGGAGAGCGAGGGCCTATGCTCAGATGTGATTTTAGCAACTTGAAGGAATCAATGAATGTCTGTTGAATTTAATAATTAAAAACAACCCCTAGGCCTTGGGTTTTATGTGTCTTTTTTTTTTTTTTTTTAAAAGATGACCGGCAAGGGTATCTCAACTCTTGACTTGGTGTTGTCAGTGCCACACTCTCCGAAGTGAGCTAACCAGCCATCCCTATATAGGGATCCGAACCCGTAGCCTTGGTATTATCAGCACCGCACTCTCCCGAGTGAGCCACGGGCTGGCCCTTTTGTGTGTCTTTTTAAAATTTTGTTTTTTAGCAATTCATTTTTATTGCATTGTATAAAAGTATTGGTCCCTCGAATGGACTGAAAATTTAACAGGACATCTGGTCTTTCACCACAGAAGGATTTTGGATTTTATTCCATGTGTGATGTGAACCCATAGAGAGTTGGGGGATGGTGCGATGGGGTCTGTTACCTTCGAGGTATTTACTGAGGAGCAGGAGTGGGGAATGGAGGCATTGCCAGAGGGGACAGGAACTGGTTTGGATTTGCATGTGGAATTCTGCATTCAAGTGGATTCCAAATGCTGGCTGTGAGTGTGCACAGAACCTCCCTAGGTTCCACCCTCTGGGAAGTGGGGGTGACGTGACCTCGGGAGGAGCCCTGTTTGGTCCCAGCACTGCAGACCCCAAGGGACCTGGTTATCGAGGTCAGAGCCCCCGTCCCCCACCCGTGAGCCAGATGCATGCCTGCTGCCACAGCTAACCATAGGGTGGCAGGGCTGCAGAGGGGGACCTGCAGCTCTAAGGCCAGCAAAGCCCCCCCCGGACCGAGGGGAGGAAGCTCCAACGTGCAAGGGCGAGTCCACAGCGCCACCCTGTCGTGTGTTTGCACCTGAGGAGGGAGCCCTTGAGGCTGAGCGGCAGTAGGGACAGACCCCCTCAGGACACCTTGGTTCACCCTCGCTCTCCCCATGGCTTGCTTCAAAAGTGTAAAACATTTTTAAAAGGTGAAAACATTCCTTTGATTTCCAATCATAGGCAAGATGAATATAATAGGTGAAGACCCACAATCCTGTTTTACAGACCATACAACTTTCCATATGTGCCCATGCTTGTATTTTTTTTTTTTTTCTCTTAAAAAGTGTAAAGGAAGGAAGAAAGAAAGAAGGAAGGGAGGGGGGAGAGAATGGGCATTACAGATACAGCCACCACCTGCACCCTGAGGAAATGTATGACTGAGGGCACTTCACAAAGTTCACGGAGAGACTCGTGCATCTTTCAATTCTACTTTTCCACAAACTTTTGAAGTCTGCCCATATTTATTTAGAATTTCCTTCTGTGTTTTAGATTTTCTATAAATCGTGTGCTTTCAGGGCTTATTTTTTTTGTTTGTTTTTGTTTTTTGTGATCGGTAAGGGGATCGCAACCCTTGGCTTGGTGTCGCCCACATCGCGCTCAGCCAGTGAGCGCACCGGCCATCCCTATATAGGATCCGAACCCGCGGCAGGAGCTCCGCTGCGCTCCCAGCTCCGCACTCTCCCCAGTGAGCCACTGGGTTGGCCCTCAGGGCTTATTTTTTATTCAACAACATGTTCTGAGATTTATCTATGTTCATACAGGTGACTTGGCTCATTCGTTTTAAGTGCTGCATAGTATTCCATTGTTTGTATAAACAAAAGCTTACCCATATCCTTACAGATGAACCATTTGGCTGTTTCTTTTTTTTTTTTTTCCTTTTGTTTTGGCAGCTGGCCCGAACAGGGATCCAACCCTGAACCTTGGTGTTATCAGCACCATTCTCTACCCAGCTGAGCTGACCCCCAGCCTTATTTGGCTGTTTCTGATTTTCTGTAGCATGCAATGCAGATACGAGCATTTTTGCACATTTCCTTGTGCACGTGTGCTAGGATTTTTCTAAGGCAGACTGTAGGGTATAATTGCTGGGCTGTACTATTATTTAACTTTGTTTAGGACCTTGCTCTTCAACTCCAGACTTTATATCTTTTAGCAAAATAAAATGTAGTCAGGGATGAAAGTGCTAGACAAGAATCATATTTTCCATCTCCCACATGAATACTTGGAGGCTTTTCCTGGAAGAGGGACTGTTTCTGCCAGTGGGGACTCCCAGCGGCAGGCTGCTGCGGGATGAATCTTGGGGGTCCCCCAGGTTTTGTTCACTGCCTCAGGACTCCACATTGTGCATCCCCGTTGGTCTAAGACCAAAGGGGGAGCTTCGCAGTTGGGAAGAGCCAACCTGCTATGGACAAACAGTCAAACCTGCCTTTTACAAACTGAGGTCCAGATGAGATGGCCCCTTGGGAGACTTGCACACAGTGTACTTTGTGTCTGCTTTTCCCTGGGGGCAGCTGGTGTGTTTCAGCCAGCCAACACTGGGCGGGTTCAGTTAGGAAACAGGGAACTGGCACTGTCACTGAGCTACTGATGTCAAAGGGAGGCTAAGTACACAAGAAATCAAAATGAAAGCAGTCCACCCTGTGCCCGTGTGCTTTTCTGGATGTTTCTTAGTACCTCCTTAGAGAATAGCTGCCTTAAAAGCAGTAGGTATTGTCTTTCTTACATCGGGAAATTTCACTCCTTCGTTGGAGGGCTGTTATAAATAGGCCTTAGGGCTAACTATGCTGGTAAGACTTTTAACTGTGTTGAGTTTTTGCAGCAGTCTGGCAGCACCAGCACGGGGTGCGGTCACCTCAGAAGGGAGAGGCACCCTTGTTCTGGGACTTGAGGTAATGTACAGTGTGTACATTTGTGAGTGTGTGTGTGTATACATCGGTGTTGTTTTTCAGTCTTGACCAAAGTCTAAGTGTTTCTCACCTCCTCCCCTTTCATTGAATTCCCAGCTCCCAGACCCCACAAACTACAATGTGTGGGGCTCCCCCATGCATAAGGTAGAGCTCAATAGAAGGCACCAAATTCAAGAACAACAAAAGCCGGTTCCTTTTCAGAGTACATCAGCAAGAACAGCAAGGACCAACTTTGGGTTTGGGGCGGAGAGGACACATGGCTCCACGTGGCCCTGGGCTGCACGCTAGGGCTTGTGAGTCTCTTGTTCTTGCCAAACACAGGTGTCTTTGCAAACGTTAATTTACACAGGTAGATGGGTGTGTGCCATCTCTAAAAATAATGCTCACACACACACACACACACACACTCACAAAAGCAGACAGATTCGCCTGTCCCCTACTGAGCCCCCCAAAGGATGGATCTTTCCTATTTTGAAACAGAAGTGAGCTTTAACTCTTTATTAAAAGAGAGAACCTTCAATATTTTCGATTTGCCTTTTCAGGCTCATGGGATGTCAGAGACTTGCAAATACCTGACTCGACATCTGTCCTCTCATCCCATTTTATAGACCAGAGATGGCAGCCAGGCCAGCTGCCTGCCCATGGGAAGCCCAGGTAGGTAACCTTTCTGAGGTCGTTCACCGGCTCCACCCTGTCTTCGGGGCTCAGGCAGCAGGTGGGCGTGCTCAGCAGGGCTGCTGAAGGGAGGCACCCTCTCTGGCCACGCAGGGCCTGATGCTGCCAGCCAGCTCCTCTGCCATCCCCGCCTCGGTGCACAGGGGGTAGCAGCCTGGCAGAAGCAGGAGTCCCTTGGGCTCGGCAAGGAGTGTCCAGAGGCCTCAGGGGTAGCCCAGGGTGGGCTCCTGGTTGGCCCTCCCACCCTCCTGAAGGGCAGTGAAGACATCAGGGTGAGGTGGTGGCCTGGTGAGGTGGTCCAGCCCCCTGGGCTCAAATGGTCATTTAAGGCAACCCTGGGTGCCCAGGGCCACTGTGTCTAGGGCTGGCTTACAGTTACCTGGGAAAACACACCTAAGATTCAAATCCTAAGGTTCAAATCTGTGCACACGGTGCAGGCTGTGCCCTGGGTGTGGGAGAGACCCTTCCCCAGAGCCTGCTCAGAGTCCTGGGAGCCACTTGCTGCTCCTTGCCCCCCACTCAGGGTCCCCTCGCCCTCCCTTCCATTCGTGGCATCATTAGCTGTCTCCTTTCCTCTGCCAGACCCTGTGCCTGAGGGCAAGGCTCACACCTGAGTTATCTGGGATCCCCTGGAGCTTGCACAATGCTCCCATAGATCACGGGCAAGCTTAGGTCCGGCTGCAGACAGCCAAGGGCACCGCATCATGGGGACAGCCAGTGGTGCGAGACTCCACGACTGCCAGCTCCTGGGCAGTGATGCCTGTGCCCACGGCCACAGGATCTGCCAGCTCGCACCCACCCAGACGCCACCTGTGTGCACCATGGGCCACTTGAAGATGGGAGCAACCCAGATGACATCATGGACATTGGACACAGTGGCAGGAAATGTGGGGCCACCTCCCAAGAAAGGGTCCTGATGCGGGACCCCCCCACACCCACCCTGACACAGTCTGCGAGGACAGGAGCCCACTAGTGCTGCACTTTGAGACTGTAGAGCTGGAGACCAATGTCCCTCTGTCCTTCCACCCATCTGCCCACAGGCTGGCAGAGCTCACTCACCTTCTGGGACCCCGACGTGGAGCTCTTGAGCGAGCCCCGCTTGAAGGAGCTGCTCATCTTCCTCAGGGAGCCCATGAGCCAGCCTCCTGCATCCCGGTGTGGCTGGGCCTGCTACAGGGGGGCCACCCACTTCCTGGGTGGGCAGAGGCCGAGGGACACACACAGCGGTAGCCCCAGTGGCTAGGCAAGGGGGCCCAGAGCCTGGGGTGAGGCTGGCAGCCAGCAGCTGGGTCAGCCCAGGAGGAGCGTGTGCTGGTTCCCGCTGGCCCCTTCTGCCCGACCCCCACCCCCAGTGCTGCTGGGCTCTTCTATAACATCTGTAATCAGGCGTAATCCTCCATCTCCCAAAGGCTTATAGGGCACAGATTTAGCAAATGGCGATTGAAAGTAAATCTACTTTGAGAAAGTGGTGGCTGCAAAGAGTGGCCAAAAGAGAGGGATTTGAGTGTCCATAAAGGCACATCGCGACAGCAGACAGCCCCCTCCGCTGGCATCTCCACTACCTCGCAGGACAGCTTCCAGACTCCCCATGGGGGACTGCCTGCATCTCACAGCAGGACCAGCACCAGGCCCAGCCTGTGGGTCACGGCTCCCTCCTGCAAGCCGCCAAGTGCAGCATTTTCTCCACTGTTAACTTGAGAGTGAAACGGCTGCCTTTTTGTCTGTATCCTATGTCGGGATGCCAGTCCATTCTGTGCTGCTGTTGTTTCTTATTTGGCGTGCCTGCCTTGCCTCTATAAAAGGCAGGTGGGGCCATGGGTCTTTGTTTGTGGCCCTGCTGCAGGCGTGTGACAGGTGCAGCTGTTTCCACAAGTCTACCCCGAGCCTGGCCCTGAGCACGTCGTCAGTGTTGCCCACCCTCCTTTTTCCTTCTGGCACATGTGTCACCTTCGAGGTGCAGAGGAATGGGTTGAGGCTCAGAGAGGACAGGCCATGCACTCCTGTTGTCACATGACTTCTTAGGGACAGACAGCACCCTCCACCTTGGTGTCTGGCTTCTTGCCCCAGGAGGCCTGCTCAGCCGCGGAGGACCTGGCCTGTTGGGGTCTGGCTTAGGAGCTTGGGGAGCCCCACCTCGGGCAGGGCCAGCTCTCTGTTCCCCACCGCCCCCATCTCTTATCACCCCTTACAATCATTCGACTGACATTTTCCGAGTCTCTGCTGTGGACCAGGTACCGCATACAGCAGGTGCTGGGGACTCAGAAGTGACAGCAGGTGAGAAGCCCTGCCCTCCTGGAGCCGAGGTCACCATGTGGGAGCCAGATACCTTAAAGGATCGAGTACATGGTGTGCTGGAGGTGGTGTGTGTCAGCGAGGGAGAGAAAGCCAGGAGAAGGGGCGGGCTGGGGTGGCTGTAATAGGAAGATGGGGGCGGTGGGTGGAGAAGGAGCACGCTGCGCAGGGGTCGGGACAAGCACTGCCAGGCAAAGGCCTTGACTTGGAGTGTGCCCGGCATGTGCAAGGAACAACAGGAAGGTGCAGGTGGAGGGAAGGGAGGGCACGAGGAGCTGGGGGCCACCATGTGATGAGTGTGCAGGCCGTGGAGGCCATTCTAAGGACTCTGGGTTTTGTTTCCAATTCATGACCTGATTTGCAGTTTAAAAGGACACTGGTTTCTATGGTGGGCCACTCGGAGGGCCCAGGGCAGAAACGGGGAGCCCAGCACCAGGATGGTGGCAGCTTGGAGCAGGGTGGTAGTTCCACCCTGGGGAGCTTTTGAAGGTAGAACTGAGAGGATGTGCCGAGGGATTGGGTGCAGGTGTGAGGGGAAGACAGGAGTCAGAGAACTGCAAGGCTTTGGTCCAGAGCTGTTGAAAGGATGGGGCCACCTCAAGTGTGACGAAGAAGGCTGCGGGTGGAGCAGGTCTGGGGGAGGACCAAAGATTTCTGTGCGGCTAAACTTAATAGCATTTAGTCCCAATGTTCTGTGGCCTCGTGGAAGGATCGGGTGCTGCTGGTGCCTCAGCTGCATGCTGTCCTGGTTTTCTTTCTTGTCCTCAGGCAAATCCTCAGCACCCTGCATGGTCCGGCCTCTTGCACCCAAACTGTAGTGGTGATGTCCCCTAAGGATCAGTGCAAGCCCTGCCATCTCCTCGCTCCCACGTGGGTCACCTCACCACAGCCCTCAGCTCCCTCACCGTCTGATAACTCCCCAGTGGCATCTCCAGCCCTGACCCCCTTCTGGACTCTGCACCTTGTACCTGGATTCCCAGAAGATCACCCACCCCGCATCTGCATAGCCCAAAGACACGCGTCTCAAACTCAGCACGTCTCCCACCCCCGCCCCACTCTCGGGTCTATTTCTCAGACGTGGTCTTCCTCCAGGTTTCCTGTCTCAGTGCTGGGCACCCATCAGCAAGGCAGGAAGCCAGAGGCCTGGGAGTCCCCGACACCTTCACACCCTGGAGCCCTACCCTAGCTGTCTCTGTATTGTGGTCTCCCACAGCTTGAAGGTCGATCCAAACTACACCTATGCATAAAGAGTCATCTTTGAAAAATGCCCACCTGGTCATATAATGCTTCTGTTTAAAGCCCCCAAGGGCTTAGGACTGACCCAAATCCTCATGCCCTCTAAGGTGCTGCCTCTGCCTCCCTCTCCCTCTCACAGCATCAGCCCCGCAGGCTGGGGCCCACTCTGCACCTGCCGTGCTCTGTGGGCATTGACGTTGGCCATTTCACACACGTGCAAGGTTTCTTGGTTAACATGTGCCACCCTCCCTGGAGCCCCTTGGGGCCTGCCCCAGATCTGTTGGTGCACAGTAGCTTAGTTCTGTCATTTCTTTAAGTTTTAGATCATAAAAAAAAGTATGGAAACGTTCCCAACTTGTTTTATGAAGCTAGCACAATCCTATTGCCCAAACCAGACCAGAAGAGGGCACCTTAGCTCACGTGTGAAAATAGATGTAGAAATGTGTAAACAGTATGGTAACAAATGGAATCTAGTGCTGAAAAAACACCACCACATGACCAGCACAGCACACCTTATTCTCAGGAAGACAAGGATGACTCAACACTGGAAAATCCACTCATATAATTAAGCATATTAACAGATTAACAAAGAAATGCCCTATGATCATCTCAGTAGCTGCCAAAGCCATATGGTCCATTTCAGTAAGGCAAAAAATCCCCCACATTTCACAACATTTAGCAACCATTCCTTGTTAAAACAAAAACAAACAAACAAAAGCTCTCAGCAACCAAACAAGGAAATGTCTGTATCTTGATGACAGTTACCTACCGGAGGCAACTGTAGACACCTATCCTGCTAACTGGTGAAATATTAGAAATATTCTCATCAACATCAAGGACAAATGCCTGCTCTACCCATAATCGGTCAACATTTTTCTGGGGGTTCTAACCAATGCAGAAATACAGTAAGACAAGATAAAGAGAGAAGTAGTATAAATACTGGAAAGGAATAGAAAAAACTAGCTGCTCATAAAAAGTCAGGAAAACCAGCAAACAAGCTATTAGAATTCATAAGAGGCTTCAGCAAGGTTTCCAGATACTAGCTCAACACAGAATAAAATAATAGGTTTCCTATCCTCAAGCATATTTAATTAGAAATTAATTCCCATCAAATGGTAAAAGAAACAATAAAACACCTGTTAATAAACCTAGGGAGAAGTGTATCAGATCTATGCGAAGAAAATGATGAAATTTTACAGAAGAGCATAAAAGGAGACCTTGACAAAATATATATTCTCATTCATTGCTTGAATACTTTTTGGAAATCAGTCTAGCCACATCTATTAAAATGAAGTACATATACTCTTTGACTCGCAGTCCCTCTCCAGGGACTTTATCCCATAGAAATCAAAATGGTAACATGTAAAAATATATATTCATGGATGTTAATTGCAGCGTTGTTTGTAGTGGCCAAAAACCTGGAAACAAAGTCAGCCTCCTTCCAAGGAGAAAGAGTTGAATAAATGGTGGTACCTGCACACCACGGAATAATATTTAAAATTTTTTTTTAAAGTTAGTCAATACTAGTTGACTTGGAAGGATTTCCATAATTTATTGTTATAGAAAGCAAGACACAGGTATAGAAAGGTGTATATAGTATGATGTAATTTTTTTGTAAAACAAAATATGTATGGATAGAGATAAAGATAGAGATATTAGCATATCTATTTATCTATACCAATTGATCTATTGTGTGAATTTATATGTGACCACTGAGAAAAGTATAGATGATACATAGTAATTCTATGTTTTAATTCTTATTTTAATGTTTAGCGAAATGATGCACGTGTATAACAAACACTTAGGTGACCCACAATGAAAATCACAGAACCTGCCTCATTCTTCCCTCCCATCTCCTGCCCTCCAAGATAACCAGTTTTTTTTTTTTTTGTCTTTTGTCTTTTTCCGTGTCCGGCAATGGATCGCAACCCTCAGTGTTGCCCCCGTACCAGACCGGGGACCGGCAACGGGACCGCAACCCTCGGTGTTGCTCCCGCGCCTCGCTCAGCCAGTGAGCGGGAACTGGTCTGTATGTGGGATCCGAACCCTCGGGCGGGAGCGCCGCCGCGCTTCCCAAGTGGCGCACTTATCCAGTGCGCCACCGGGCCGGCCCGTGTTTTAATTCACTTATCTGTTTCTTCAGATTTGCCTTCATATTTTAAATAACATGCTTTTAATTTTATTTCTTAATTTTTCAGCTTTAGATATTATTTATTGACTTTTTTAAAGAAAGATAGATACATATTAAGATAGAGATAGATATTGTATGTCAACCTTCACCACCGTTCCCCAACCACGCTTCCACTCCTGAAGTCTTTCTCATGGGGTGGTATCTTAGTTCTGGAGGAAATCAGTATTTAGTGTTTTTGTGACTCTGACTATGAAATTATTTATTTATAATTCACATAGTGTTACTATAATTTCCTCTCAGCTTTTTGTTTTGCCTGAAGTTGATAGTAGCTAAATTTTCCTTCATTTAACTAGTTTTAGGTTTTAATTATTAACTTATCTCTAAATTCTGTGCCTCGCCTATAATGTTACCCTCAGTATTGTCAAGTTGTTGACATATGCCTCCCCTGCCTTCATTTCCTTCTTGGAAACAATGCTGCTTCAATGCGGCTGCTCTCTGGGTTTGTTTCCCAGCTGTGGTA